GTGTGTGTGTGGTGTGTGTGTGGGTGTGTGTGTGGTGTGTGTGTGTGTGTGGTGTGTGCTCATGCATTCACCCCCATGTGCAGGAACATGCAAGCACATGCTCCCACATGCACTCATTGGCCATGCATGGAACCCAATGTCGACATAAGGAGGTTTTCCTCAATCACCCTCCACATTATTTCTTGAAACAGCATATCTCAGTGAACCTGAAACTCACTGTTTCAGCTACATTGTCTGCTGGCATCCCAGGCATGCCCCTGGGTGCTGGAATTATGGATATATAACCTCACATGGGGTTCTAGGATCCAAACTGGTTTATTCTTGCTGAGCAGCACTGCCTGCAGAACCATCTACCTAGCCCTGCATATGCATATTTTAACAACGGTGTGAAATTACTTATTTTTTTCTCAATGTTAGGTAGAAAGTAGCATTTTTAGACATTTATAAAAATGCCATGCATTGAAGTGAATTCCAGTTGTTTATTTTTCCCATTTACGATTCTGGATATTCAGGTGTTTGACAACAAACACACACCAGCTGCATGTACAAAACATACTACACACAAACAGATCACTTGCATGCACAAAAACATGCTACACATAAACAACATTTTCAATTTTTGCATTTTTCTATTTTCTACCTTTAAAATTATACATTTTTTTTTCTGTCTAAAACAAACCCTTACTTTTGGAAAACACACTTTTCCCTTAGGGAAAGTAGACATAATAAAAACACAGCTCTAAAAATTTTGTCCTTTAAACCTTAAACATCTTGGGATAAATGTGTGAGATTTCCATGGGAGAAAACAAGCCACCCCCTGTAAGTCAGGAGGTACTTTGGCTCTGCCCTGGGGCTCAGGTGCCTTGCTCAAGGGTTATGTGAGACTCCTATTTCTTCAGGGTACTCCAGAACAGAAACCAGGCTTACAGAAGAAAACCTGACCAGGCCCAACTCCCCTACATTTAACAAGCCCCAAACAAAAGCCTATCTTTGTCTCAGTTCAAAATGTTCTTAAAAGGAAAAAAAATCTCTGCTCTTTGTAGCTGGAGATGGATGAGCTCTGCCTCCTACCAACAGGACAAAGTCAAGGAAGGGCTCTTACGGGGGATGGGAAATTGAGTTTGCATATAAGGACAGTTAGTCATGTAGACTGTCACTCCTGCACTGTGGAGGAGGATTTTACTGTTTATCTGGCCTTTCTAAAGGTTGGCATTTGAATAATCAGGTGGCTGGTAATGGATGTGGCAAATCACACTCTTCTAAGAAGGCTAAAATAACACCTTCGGTCTACACAGTATGATCTCACCATTCTCCTAAGTAGAGCTACCTATTCTCTTCCCTTTGGTTCTGAGCTGGCCTTATGACTTCCTGGAACTAACAGAATAAAGCAGACATACAGTGTGAGTGACTTCTGTAGTCAGACTTTCTTTTGGGTCAACAGCTCACAAATAATGACGTGGAGACTTATTAATTTTGAAAGCTCGGCCTATAGCTTAGGCTTGCTCCTAACTAGCTCTAATAACTTAAATTAACCCATTTATACTCATCTACATTCTGCTACATGGCATTGCCTCTCTTCCATCTTGCATCTCCTGTATCTCTCATGCGACTAGATTCCTCTTCCTTTCTCTCCCCAGAATTCCCCCCTATACCTCCTGCTCAGCTGTTGGCCCTTCAGCTTTTTATTCCACCAATCATGGCAAATACATCTTCACACAGTGTACACATATCCCACAACATACTTCTAAAGATGATTGGAAAAGGCAAAGCAGCTTTTATCAGGCTCTCTGGGATAGACACCTGCTGTGAGAGAAGCCAGCTTAGGGAAGAGGTCTGATGACTCACACTGAAGAGGCCATGCCTAGGAAGGTCTGTGAACAACCCCGCTGAGTGCCATCTCTGAGCCATGGCAACCAAGATACAAGACATGTTGGAAAGTCAATCCTGCACCTCTCAGAGGAGCCCAGTCACTGAGCGGTGACACTTGGTCACCGTGGAAAGCAGAATTGCCCAAATGATGCTTGAACATATGCCAACCTATGAAATCCCTAAGATACAATGAAACTCTCTGTTCTTCATCACTAAGCCTAGGGTAGTTTACTATATGGGGACTGTGGCGGCAGCAGTGTCAACCAAAAGTCACTGAATGAGAGGAGAGTGATGAAAACCCACAGCTGAAAGGAGAATAACTGGAGGAAATGTATTTCTTGCAATATGATGCACTCGGTGCCTTGATTAACCTGTCCATTGAAAATAATTAAAATGATAAACATAACATTAAAAATGAATTTAAAGGTATACTGAATGATTGATAAGAGAGCAGAAACTTCTTTTAGGGGGGCACAAATAAAGAGAGGGAACCCAGACAAGGAAAGTAAATAGTAAAAATGTCTTTGACTCGAGTACACTGGCATTAAGTCTGGTGAATCTGAGCAGTCATTTCCAAAAGTAGGTGACATATGAGGTGGGGGAGACCAAAGGGAATAACCCAATGTAAAGCTGTGCTGCACTGCTGTGCCCCAGAGCATGACAAAGGGAACTTCAAGCTGGAGTCAGTGTGGGGTGGGTGGGAATGCAGGCTGAGGAGTTGGACCCGTAAGCCTATTGTCCACCTGGTTTGCAATCTGAATCTACAGTACTAAGGTAATCTGAAGTAACTCATTTTACTAATCCAGTTCAAAATAACATTAAATAAAAGGCACTTTAGAGAAAAAAGTCATTTTTTAAAATTAACTTTATTTTATATGCATTGGTGTGGAGGAGTCAAATTCCCTGGAACTGGAGTTACAGATAGTTGTGAGCTGCCATGTAGGTGCTGGGAACTGAACCTGGGTCTTCTGGTAGAGCAGCCAATTGTCTTAACCACTAAGTCATCTCCCAGCGCTCCAAAAAGTTATTTCTTAAGATAGAGCTTCATAACAAAGTTTTTAATAACAAAAATGTAATGTTCTACATATCTAATGGCATCTCATATATTAGGAGAAGACTCTTAAAACATTTTTATTTACTCTGTGTGTATGAGTACAGGGCCCTATGTGTCAGAATACACGTGGAAGATGTCTGTCTCTCAGTCCTAGGGCTGTACCTCAGGCCATGAGGCTAGCAATGCAAGTGCTTTGATCTGCTCAGCCTTCTTTCTGGCCCAGGAAAAATAATCATAACACAGAAAGGTGTGGTGATAATTTGTTTATGATCTAATAAATAAAGCCTGCCTAAAAATCAGAGTGCAGAGCTAGCTACACTAGGTAACCATAGAGGTCAGGTAGTGGTGGCACACACCTTAATGCTAGCACTCAGGAGACAGAGGGAGATGGATCCTGTGAGTTCAAGGTCACCTTGGGCTACACAAAACTGATCCATTAAATACTCAGTTACAGATATGGTATGTATTTATTCAATGCCAGATTTTGCTGAGAGTAAAAAATTAGGAACTCACTGTTAGTGATATTGGTAAACTGGTAGCATGAAAAACTTAAAAACAAATGGTTGGTAATAATCTTGGGCTATGGTCCCTTTCTTGAAAACAACTTAAGGGAAGATTTATTTTGGCTTACAGTTTCAGAACTGTAAGTGCATTAGGGAATGGTGTAGTGGAGAAAAGCTCCCATTTCAGTGACCTGACAGTGAAGCAGATGTTAGACAAGGCTGCCACAGGAAGCAACTCCCAAGGACATTCCTGACATCATCCTCTTGCCTCCAACTAAGCCTTACCTATTACCTTTCACCAGTGTCCAGTAACATTATGAGTCTGTCAAGGGATTAATTTATTTTTAGACCACAGACTTCTTAATCTGGTTGCCTCAGGCAATGCCTGCAAACACACACCTGCATGCACGCAGGTAATCTCCTAGGTATTTTGCAATCCAGTCAAGATGACAACCAAGACTGACTATCACAATGGGGAACCCTCCTCAGCTACTCTTGAATGAGAACAGGTTACACAGCAACTAAGGACTAGCTTTCTCTGAGACCCAGTTGAAAGAACTGTGCTGCTATTACTGCACACCACCACGTTAAGCGTTTAAACTTTCAAAGTGAGAAAAGTGCTAGGATGGGTGTGTAGAGGCTGAGGATGCAGATTCTGAAAGCACAAAAGGTCACTGAGATACTTGCCTTGTCTGCAGGTGTCAACCTGGCCCAGGGCTTGTCAGCTCGGCGGTCATAGTCGGGAGAATCGGTGACTTCTACATACTCATTAAACCGAAGGATCCTTCGGGCTTGTAGCTCTGCCACAGTAGGTCTTAGGCTGAGCTACAGGAGTATAGGAGGGAAAGGCAGAGATCAGTTACACGTTTACAGCCTCTAGGTGACTAGCTTTCTGTCTGGAACACTTCAAAGTTAAGGTCACTTTCAGGTATTAAAAGAAAAGCAATGGCATCTTGGGAATTTGTAATGAGGCCTAGAAAGCAGTGTGCCCTCATTTCCAGACAAGAAAATCATCACTGCTAGCTAGGTCAGCCTCTGGCAACCCAAAAGGCTTTTACTCTTTGCAGTGTGCCATCCCCCACAACATGCCTGGGTCTAAGATTATGACTTGCCTGTCATCTCTGACACAGGAACACTCTGAACAGTGAGAGGTCCACCAGTACTACAGCTTGAGGATGAGTATGGTGGTGGCTGACAGACTAAGACAGAAGCTATGAAACTCCTAGAAAATGGCAATGAGTCTCTACTCCCGGCATTCGTAAAAATGCAGTGTTCTCTGCAGCAGTGGCTCAGAGAAGGGTGTAGCTACAGCATGGTCTTCCTGGGGAGGAAGACACAGGTCCTGCATTGGCCATGTCAGCCAGAACAGCTGACAGGCAGGTGAAGGAGGCTTCCCAGAGAGCAGTTCTTCTTTCAATCTTTCTGACATGTCTGCTCTTGGGGATTCCTTCTTTAGTCCTTTATCCCATTCAAATTTATCATTCTATTTAATCTGGCCAGCCCTGGGGGTGTCTTTGCTTTACTCTCTTGATCCTTTCACAAGCACCAAGAATAAGACAGGAATAATCCTACACTTGAAAGAAACCCAGACCTACCTTGGAATGCTTTTGCTGTGAGCTCTCCAGCCAGCCCTCAACAATGTGAGTCAGGCCACACACTTGACTATGGTGCCACATTTTAGTCACCCCGCTCTCTTCCAGGAATGGAAGGTATATCTGAGAAACTACTAAAAGGATTTATAATGAAATATAACTTCTGGTTGTCCTTAATTTTTCCAAAAGCTATTATTTATTTTAGCACAGAAGAAAAAAAAAGTCATGGCCCTGGAATCAGGTTTGTAGTTTTGTAAATAAGTGGAAATGATTGCTTGAATTCCAGAGATAAGCTGTTTTTCGATTGACTGTGGTCAAATTCACTCAATAAATTACTCACCCAGGTCTGCTACAGAACAGTGACAAATCATTAATAATCACAAAATACTTATTTAGTATTTCCAGGACTAAATGGAAAGTGTGAGCATTTTAAAATCTAATTAAAGACATAAAAATATATTAAAATGGTAACGTTGGCTCTCTAAATGGAAGATTTGTATATGACATTTTCTTTTTCTGTTCTTTTTGCATTTAAAATTTTTTCACTTAAGATACATGTTTTCATAATCAGTAAATGCAATGTACAAACTGTGAATTTTTCAAAATGAACATAGCATGCAAATAGAAAGTAATTGATTCGCATGCATTGTTGATTTTAATGCCTTGGGTCATATGGTGGCCAATTAGAAAGACTCATCCCTAAGCACCCCAGTCACTAGTTAAGAGCGGTTTGCATCTAACAAAAATAAACCGGATCCCAGAACACACATGCTCATTAGTAGTCATAACGTCATCACCTTCCGGCTGAGTCTCCGTTTGAGCTCCATCTTTGCTTCTTGCTCCTCCTCTTCATTCTTTTCTGTTTATTAGGGGAGACATAAGTTTGGTTACTAGAGATGATCATATAATCAGAAAAGTCTATCAGAAACAATTACCCAGTTCTGCCATATGCTAATTAAACACGCCATCACCTTAGAAATGAATCAAAGGATTCTGCAGAAAGAGTGGCCATATGCATGTAATATATGTGCATATGTGCAATGATGTCTTTCTCCCTTATGGAACTGGTTGCCTTTCTTCACTGATTTTAAACCTTGTGGCTTCCTGATTTCTTGTTCTATGTCTGTACTATTGCTGACCACCTCATGGTCTTGGAAACACAATCTACCAGAATTCAGATAAAAATCTACTTCTGGATCTGATTTTCATGTGAAAAGTCCGAGGCACATTAAAAGAACAAATTAGAACCATCCCATGCACATCCAAGCTGCTGACTTCCATTCAAACCCAACCAAAATATTTGACTTGTCTTCCTATGTTTCCATAGAAGCAAAGTATAAGCATTCCTTAGGACTTGGCTTTCAAACCAATGTTCTGAATGGGGTCATGTTGTACTGTGGGTGGAAATTATTTATTTTCTTGTGACTTTAACTTTCCAAAGTCGTCTTTTCCTCTGGTGCTTCATCAACTAGTTCAATTTCACACAGTCCAACAGATGGGATTGAAAGAAAAAGTTCACATTTTAAAGAAATAGCCCTTGAGATTTATGGGATGCATATTGGAAAAGCTTCTTTCTGTTGCTGCTTGTATCTCATCTGTGTTAAGTAAGGCACTGATTTTACTTCATAGCAAAATATGTACAACACTTATATTCTAAAGATTCTAGTGAAAAAAGACTGTATTATAGAAGGGATCAACTGAGTCTTCAGAAAAATTCTCTTCTATGAAAAGGCTTTATTTTTTAGCATCTCTCTCTCTCTCTCTCTCTCTCTCTCTCTCTCTCTCTCTCTCTGTATATAGTATAAGTCATAGGACCTTGAATGTCATCATCTGGTGCTACCCACCTTGGCTTTTAAGACAGTGTTTTTCACTGGGACCCGAGGCTTACTGATTAGACTGTGGTATCTAGCCAGAGAGCCCCAGGAATTCTCCTGTCTCTGCCATACTAGTATTAGATGGTAAGTGTGCCCCACCATACCCAGCTTTTTAAGTGAGTGCTGAGGATAGAACTTAGGTCCTCATGCTTGCATGGCAAGCACTGTACTGACTAAGCAATTTCCCTAACCCAAAAATACACTTATTGAAAAAATTTAAATGGACTTTTCCCTACTGAGGTTACTGGTTTCAAGAGTAAAAAGTCAGTCTTGAATATTTGAAGCACCCACAGGTATTTGCTCATTAACCAGACTATATTCAATTATATATGTTTTTTTTTCTTCTCTGGACATAATGAAGTTTCTGTTTTTTTTTTTTTTCTTCTGAAATACATTCTTAATTTACACGGGAAAAGATGATCCATGTAGCTATCTACAGTGACATAAACTGATTTCACCCTCAGACTAGAGAAACTTCAAGTTCAAATGGATTTGGTTATAACTTGGATTTCTAATTATGAGTGAACTGTATGAATGGCTGATTGCTTCACAACAACATGTCTTTCTGTACCCTTAAAGTGTATGCAAAGGGTCAATTACTTAATTTGAATTGAATGAAGCTTATGAATTGCCTATTATACATATTACACAAATTCCTAACTTGTTAATGTGATTAAAATCAGAGCTTTACAAGGCAAGACCTGTGATGATACAGTTATTTAAAAGAAATAATATAATCCTTAAGTATAATTTTAGTCACTTCTTTCCATATGCCTATCACACCTTATTTCTTTTTTCTTTCTTTTTAAAAAGCTACTTTAAAATATTAGATTATTAATTTTATTTTATGGTTGTTTTGCCAACATTTATGTTTGCACATCATGTATGGGTTTGGTGTCCTCAAAGGTCAAAGAGGGTACTGGATGTTGGAACTGAAGTTGCAGATGACTGTGAATCACCATGTGAGTGACAGGAATTCAACCCAGGTCTTCTGCAAGAGTAGCTAGTGCTTTCAGCTGCTAAGCCACCTCTCCAGTCCCCCAACCCCCATGTTTCATTTCTTAAAGGCACTTTCAAAGACAAACAAAAAATCCTAAGGGTTTTCACGACTTATGTAAAATGTCATTTCTTTAAAGGGAATATTAGTTTTACCCTATTATGGATGTTGTACAACAAGGTGACAGCCAGTGATGTTTAGGGAAGGAAGAACCGATAAGGGAGCTTAAGTAAACAGGGTTTTACCATCTGGGAATTCTTCCCTGAAGCTAGGAACTGGCTTCTAACATTTCCCATGTTTGAAGTGATACTTCTAAAGCAGATGAGCGATGGGAGGTGGAGGGGCTGGCATGGGGCAGTCTCCAAGTCTTTATAGGGACCAGGGGAAATCTTGAAATTGGTACTTAAATAATCTCTGAGATGTTCATTTAGGGCACATTTCCTTCACGTTTTGATGAATTAGAGGACTAACTGTACAAAATGATGCAAACTGTTTGTGGCATTGGGATGGATTGAAGGGTTTTCATGAAGGAAGTGACAGAACTCTTGGCCAGTGTCTTGCTTGCATCAGAGAACAGTGCCACTTCAGACAGCCACAGGGAAGTGTCTGAATAAACATTCCATCAGTAAATATGCTTCCAAGGCAGTGGGCACTTCAGAACCTTGCCTGCCTAGCCAATGTGGCCCCAGAATTGCGTGAATTGTTGAGAGAAGAAGGAAAAAAGGAGCAAAACCAGCAACCAGACTAGCAGTGCACTTTGGAGCTATCAATTTGCGTGAAACGACCTGGCCCTCCTCCCATAGATTCTTTGTGGCTTTGTTTATCATTTTGCTGCTTTTCTTATTTCCATGTAGGTGGGTTTCTATTTTATTTTGTAAACATTTATTTATTTATTGTGCATGTGTGCGTGTTCACAAGCACACTACCACAGCACACATGTGGAGGCCAGAGGAAAACTTGTAAGGGTAGACTTGGGTCCCTGGGAATTGTACTCAAGTTGTCAGGCTTGGTGCCAGTGTCTTAATCTGCTGAGCCATCTCACTGACCCCACATAGGTATTTCCAACAAATGAAATACACTTATAAACTTTTGAAATATATATATGTTAAAAAATGTAATTCAATGAGTAGGATACGATAAAGATGTCAACAGTAGAATATAAATGGCAGGCACATGGTTGGTTAGTTGCTCGCTGTGAAATTTCCTCAATTTTTTCTTTTTTTTTTTTTGTAGATCTAAAAAATTTCACAGTTAATTGTCAAAGAAAAAAGATTCAGAACTCAGTGGCCTGGGTCACTTTTTTTTTTTCCTGTGGGAAACATAGCTGGAATGACCCTCACAGCTGCATGTGAGAGCAATGCATCCTTTCTCAGTCCTGTATGGAAAAGATGTCCCATAGATCACTTTTCCTGACCAGTCAGAGGCTATGTATGTTCTCAATTTTAAGGGACTGGTTTGAAAATAAACAATCAAATATAAATGTAGCTTACATATATGTTATGAACTTATACACATTATATAGTTTATATATTGTACAATATAAATATAGTTAAAGAAAACTACTCTTACCATCATAGGAAAGAAACCAAGTGTGGAGTGTAAGGGACATGATGCTAAGACACCGAGTTTGTCCCATGTCCTTACAGAATAGCTATTGGCATTTACTGCCATCTCAGTCATCTCAGTTACTAAAGTGGTGGTGGGTTTTGATTAGAGAACTGTTGGCTACTTTGAGCTCTGAATCAGTTTCCTAGCCCCCAAGAGATGGTCTACATGGCCCTTAAAATCATATTGTATCACAGACACTTTTCTGGTGTCTTCATTTAGACACTTTTGAACAAAAACTTGAGATGAACTATACAAGCAAAAGGAGGAAAGTACAGAAGTGTGCAGAAGCAAGGGGGTTGAATGAAGTGTTTGTGGGCTAAGCTCCTGTGCTACTCAGTGGAAAGAACTCCCCCTCCCACCCCCTGTCCCAGTTCTGCCTGCTTCCCTTGGCCCATGTCAGGGGATCAGGAGCCAGTTATCAGCCTCTCCAGACTGGAAACGGGACCTCTAGTTTCCAGAATCAACATGAACTTAGAAGGAAGTAAAACAGGGCTGAACTCAAGTCTGAAGTTGACTTTGGTGCTGCACTCTTTCCCGAACCTCCAGGAAAACAGAGGCTACAGAAGCCAACACAGCACTTAAGATCAACATGCAATAAATTTTCAGATCCATGAAAGAGTTCCTCAAATAACTAAACTCCAGTGTGGCTTGGCACATTAGTCCCAAAGGACAGGATTACCCAGAACTCGAAAGGCCTTCTTTTCAAAGTATCTCATCAGGCATCCAGTAAGACATATTCTCTGTATTCTCAGGCGCTCACAGTCTGCCTTTGAGCTTAAACTTTAATTCAGCCAGTATGTCCCAGGAACTCCGTCATGGAAAATACTTATGACACCTTAGGGTTTGTTTTCACTTCAACATTAGATGTTGCTTAGGTTGAAAAAAATGCATCCTTCTTTTGTAGCTACAACGTTTTTGTCTTTGAAAGTGGCATTTCTGCATATTAGCAGGAACTTTGCTGGGTTCTATTCAGCTTTTAGTCACAATAGCCAGAAAAAGCACAGCAGGGGTGAGGAGATGCCAGAGACTGTGTGGTTGGTTCTCCTTGCACTGGTAAATGTTCATTGTTGGGTTGTTTCAGTTATGGCAAAAGTCCTATAAATATACTATGAAAATCTTTCTTTCCTTTACAAAAGAAACTAACTCATTAAAGCATGGGACTACTAAGCAGGCTGACTGTACTCTCCCAGCTTGGTTGAAAAGGATGTCCCAATACCAATGGCTTACTGCTATTACAGTCTGCCCAGAGTTCTGAGCATCCCTGTCTTTTGATATTTCATAAACTAAAAGGCTCCTTTGGAACTAGGTTAATATCTAGAAGTATAGCCGGGCCCTTCTTTTTAACCACTGAAGCAGCAGGGCAGACGGTGTTTCTAGTGGGATCTCTCACACTTTGCAGCCAGAAATCAGAATGGAAAATTGAAGTGGGAAAATGAATGGAGGACTCTTTAAGTTTCAAGAAACCACAAAGAATTCAAGAAAGCAGAGGAGTGATCACAACAAAGGAAAATGAAATGCCTTGAAAAATCCCTCTTACCATAATTTTAGGTTGGGACTTTGGTTCAACCTAGCAACAAACTGTATTATTCATAACAATATAGGAATGTTTGATTGATTTCCTTGTGGATTCTTTCTTTGGCAGTTATTTGAAAGTAGACTAGAGCATTGGCTTTAATATTTGAGGAAAAGAACACATGGGATAAATTTCATTTTTCTCAAAAATAATTGCTATGACCAAGACTCCACTTTAGGGATATCAGGCTTCAAGCCATAAAATGAAATATGAAAACCAAGAAATTATTTTTTTTAAATATATAAACATCTACTAATATATATGACATACATGAGCCATTCTAGTCAGTTGTGAATCAGGCTTCCCTCCTGATGGATGGGTTGTCTCTGGGGCACCTTGTTACTGATCACCTGAGGGAACATGGTACAGCATCATATACTCACGTTTTAAGATGTTTCTTTGCTCTAATTCTTCAGTTGTTGGCCTCTGGCTGAGTCTCCTATGATGACAAGATGATATACTACAAGTTACAAAATGAATACACCATGAGTTACAAATGAGGGCCATTTGCTGGAAAATACAAATGAAATCAGCAATACTAGACTTTGTCATATCTTGAAAAATAAACATAAAATTTTAAGCCTATAAAATAAACGTCTCCCTCCTGTTTGTAGCCTACCGAGTGTGGCTTAGACTTCCACCTGTCTCCTCTCCCCCACTCATCCTTGTAAGACAGGCATCTGACTCTTGGCTAGGCAAATGACTAACAGATCATAGCTTCCCTAGCTAGGTGTGGGATGTGACTGACTTCTTGCAACAGGACATGAACAGAGTGAACTTTGTAAGTTGTTTTTCCTCCTCAACACAGATGAGTGTGTGGTCCCTGCTTTCCCTTTCCTTCTTGCACAGGCTATACTCGAACATGGTGTTATGAGCCAGCTTTGATCTCACAGATAAGATTACCCAGGGCCGTAAGAAGTGTACAAACCAGAAGGACTCTGGGTGTTAGGCCTCTGAGGAGAAGGGGAGGAGAAACTTTCCATCATGCTGGGTGGCCCAGCTTCCTCTAAACAGCCTGGTAAGAGAAATCAACACACATTGCTTGAACCCCTGTATTCCTGACATGTTACAGAAGCTTAGCTGATAGCTTAATTAATGCCCAGTGCACTGGGGCTTCAAATCAGTTGCTGTTGCAAAGTTCACACCAACGTCTGAGTTGCTCAATCTATGTTGCTCAGGGTTTGAAGGGAAATCCTGCATCAGGCACTGCCAGCAAATATATTCCATACATACTATCTTAAGCTATGTGGGCCTCTTCTCCCCTGCTGTTGAGATAAGCCAGGCTCATCCAGGATTAGTAGTTAACTGCTTTACACGAGAGCAGGAACTCCTTATAACTTTGTTCTTGGTCTTCTTTACATGATCAATTTGTTGCTAACATGATCAATTTGTTGTTAATTGCAGTGAAAGATTTCTTGAGGATGTAGGCTGAATTTGTGTTACATTTACCAGATACAACCAATTCTAAATGTTAGGACCACAACAAACTAGTTATCCCTCAAATGTCCCCTCAAATTTTCATTGAAGTTAGTTACTGGGATTACTTTGAAGTTAAGGTGAGTGACTGAGTCCACAAAAGGCTCCCAGGAACAATGGTACCTATGCAGCTGGATTCCATGCCATGACTATATTGTGTGCTATGTGTGCACTGCCGGCATGCTAGAGCCTGTCACAGCCAAGTGTGCTAGCTCTCTCTTACTGACAGGATGTCCTTCCTCTGAAATGCTTTCTTTTCCTTTCCTATCTTTTAAAATCCTACAGTTGGTTAAAATGGAGCCTTGAAGGTTTCCTGGCAATAAGACTGGAAGCCTCCTGGTTCTTTATCCCCACAGGAGAACATGTAGAAGGCTGAACAGCCCTTGCCCTTGCGTTATTAGTACAGAAATCTATGAGAATAACCATGGCTACCTTTTATTCTTGCTTTCAAAGTTCTGGTCTTGTGTTAGATGCTTAACGTGTCAAGGATCCTCAAAACAATTCAGCAAGGTGAGGACCAGCTTCCACCTTGCAGACGAGGAAAGGGAGATTAACTGACTTGCTTGAACTAAAACATGAGTCAATGTTGGGGGCAGGATCCACTCCTATCTTATTTGACTTAAACTGTGTGATCTAAGCTCCAACTGTGGGTAAATCACTGGGCAAGAGGCTTAAGATGTGCTGTGTTCACTGAAAACACCTTTTCAACACTTACATATTATTAAGAACAAACCCTACTATATTAAAAAAATTTAAAGCTATAGACCATATGTGTACTTACAAAGATACTAAATATTTGATGGGCAGCATTGGAATACTAGTTCATTAAAGATACAGGGGCTACCCCAGTTAGATGGTTAGACATGGAATGGAGAAGTCTCCACCCATTCAAATCTATGTTCACACTTCCTACTCTTCCTGTGGAAGCCTGGGTATCATCCCCAAAGAATCCCTGATGGAACTGATAGAAGACTGATGTTTAGTGATAGGGTTCCACACTGCTAGGTTGTTGTTTTTTTAAACCTTTCTTTATCAGTGCCCTGATTTTGTCTTCTTGGTTTGTTTTAATTTGTCATTGCTATAGCTTTATAATAAATATCTTTATAAAAAGTCCTTCAAATAAGTCATTGGAGATCCTTTTCCATATGTTCCCCAAGATGGAATTATTACGCAAAGAGATAGCTTTATAGCTATTTTATCACAATGTTAAACTGCTTCAAAAATATTGATCAAGAACAATGTAAATTCAGGTTTAATTTTTAATTGTGCTTTACTAGTTTAATAAGTGTGTGCAATTTAAGTTAAAAGTAAACATTTCATTTTATGGGGTACTAGCTGTGATCCAAGTAGTAAGAGCTTTAAATATAAGAACTGTTTTATAAGTGGCATCAAGCAATGGCTGTCTTCTATATTGTTTTAGATATATTTTTGCCAGTAATTATTTTTGCTTCTAAATAAGGCCACATCCCATTCTTTCACTCATTCATTCATGCATTCATTCTTTCACTAGTTCCTTCATTTGCAGTGAAGATCAAACCTAGCACGTTCTGTTTGCTAAGCAATCCCTCTGCCACTGGACTCTACCCTAGCCCAGACACTATGACAATAACTAGCCCTTCCTCACTACTGAGTTTATCACACATACTCTCAAACACTTTCAAAACATGCCAGCAAGGGTCTCTCATTCCATCTCAGTGGATTAGCTCAGATCTTTCTTTAGCTCACATTGGACGAGATGACATCTGTCTGTTTCCTGTCATAAAACTGAAACACCCCCAATGCTCTGATTCTAGAAAATGTGCCTACTTTCCTTCAAACTTCATGCTAGAGGCACATTTGATCAACCTGTCTGATGAGTTTTCCTCATGATACAAATGTTTACTTTCTAAATTCATTCTATCCATAGCGGTTGTCTGAACAGGAAGTGTTTGGAGCCTCAACTGTTAAACAGTTCGTTATTTAGAAAGGTTGTTGAGAATGCCGTGGCTGCCATCTTTCCCACTTGCTATATTCTCCTACTCTGTGCCAATGTCTGTATTACTATGACAGTACTACCATGATGCTGATTTTTACTGACTACAACCCTAGATTGAACTTGCAGAAGTTACCACATAGTAGTATTATTTTTCTCAGAGTTTTCTAGGAATATAACTAGGAATAATAGCAGTATTTTGTTCCCATAATTTATACCTTTTTTCCATTACAATAACTCTGACTAGACATTTAGTACAAAAAGAGTAGAGAAACTTTGTTCATTTAAAAATGATTTTAGGTTTTCTCTAGGTACTAATGTATTTAGCATAATTTATAAAACCTTAATTCTCGCTTGTCTCAGGCTTTTGTAAGATAATGCAATTTTTACCTGGGTGCTGAGGATGGAGTCTGGATTCTCATGCTTGTACAACAAATGCTTTACCAAGTGAGCGATTATCCTGGTGCAGTGTTCACGTTTTAAAAACACTTTACTATGATAAACTATACTAATATTCTTTGCATTTAAGGAGTTTACCCTATTTTGCTATCATTTTTATATGCATTATTTTTCAATGATTAAAAAATTTCACAACAAAACATAAACAAAAGCAATAAAATAATAAAACACATTTGTCACATGTTCGCATGCATGTGGTGGAGAGGAGATGGTATAAAAGAAATCCATCATTGATGAACAGTGATCCTAACCTGCTTCTGTTATAAAGGAACTGTACAGTTTTCAGAAAGTCCCTTTATCTCCCAAGGCCTCAGAGAGGCCCCTGCTTCTACTTGTTAAGAAGACAAATTTGACATGAAGTTCCTTTGACTTCTGCTAGCTCTTTCCTGAGGCAGGAAATGATCCAGGCTTAGGGCGGAGGTGAAAACACTCCAGTGAGACGGAGACCCTTGGCAAAATACTCAGGACTTCTTTTGGAGTCCTAGATGGAGTTGCAAGAGCTGGGGACACCACATCCCCAGGCCTCCTCCTGGATTCCTTAAGGAGATGAGCCTTCCCTTCAGACAGGAGCCACAGCAGCTGTCCCCCTTTAGCAGGCCTTGGAGAGTCTCTCTCTCCCTGTGGAGAATAGCAAACAGTCCCTGGCAGCCCTGTCATGGACCTCACTGCAGCGATCAGGGAAGGCTCCCACTTCTAAGCCAGAGCAGTAACTTCCTCCCATGTTCATATCCTGATCTGGTTCTCTTCTCCCAGTAATACAGCTTGGTGGGTGTACAGAGTAAGAGAAACCAGCAGAAAACAGTGACACTTGAGTGTGCTTAAGTTGCTATCAAAAACAATTCCTTGTGGCAAAAACAGGTCTATGGTACACAAGGGCTAGGAGGGAGTGAGGAGTGATGCCCAATGGCCCACTCATTCCAAGCTGTGTTTGGACAGAGGGCTATGCTTACCTGACAAGGACAATGCTAGGCTAGTGATGTTTGGTATTTCTCCACAGGATGGAACCTCATAGTTTTCCCATAAGTCTCAGTAAGTTTTCAGATTAGAACAGAGGCTGGTCAAGTTGTGGACTGCAGGTCAGATCCCCCATGACACCCTTCTTGGTAAATGCATTTTATTGATGCACTCGAATTTTCATTTGTTTATATGTTATTTACATCTTCTTTTATGCAATGGCAGGGTTGAATAACTGCAACAGAGACCAACCAGCTATCAAAGCCTGAGAATTCTGAGAATTCATAACTGACCTTTTTTTGTTTTTTGAAAAATCTGTAGACCCCTGAGCTATGTTCTGGGGACCTCAAAGCCACTGACTAACTGATCAAGTGGTTCACTATCTGAGACCAAGTTTATAAGACTGGATGGGCCAGGAGCACTTGAACCTGGTGAATTCACCAAGACTCCAGGCAGGCAGGAGACTTGGGGAAGCCTACCAGCCTACCACCACTGCACTCACACACCAGGCAATACCTGACCAGCTTGGTCCCAATCTGTTGTCTTATTTCCTGCCTTTCTTCTTCAGATGTTCGCTGCAGGATGTTTTTATCCTCTAGTTCTTTCTTGGACGGTCTGTTACCAAGTTTGATGGCAAGAGTATCCCTTCGTCGTATCTTACTTGCCAAAGCACCTGAGGATTGAAAAAGGGCAGGAATTCAGGTATATCAATTTTTACCCTAGCAGGGCTTTGGCTACAAGTGGCTGGACTTTAACAGGACCTGAGCCAAATTCTTTACTTGCGTGCAAGAGGGAAAACTTAATCAGTTCAAAGAGGGTGTGGTGTGGTGGGGATTTGAGTTGGAGATAACTCATCTTGAAAAAAAACTGAAGGATTTTTTTTAATGTTTTTTAAAAAAAGCCCGAGATACCATGAACAAGCTTGGAAGCATCACCTCATCATCTGGATGGAGATAGTTGAGGTTTATTATGCCGATTAAGTGGATCATGGAAATCAGTGATTGCACAACGCTTTTGCTTTTCTTTTCAAGTCAAAAGCTTATCCTCTCTCCTTATTCTGTACAGTTAATCCTTGTCATCCCCTTTCCTCCAGCCAGGCATCATGCTGGCATGAAGCATACCCTATATACAAAATGCTTTAACCCTGAGTCACCCAGGAGTCCTTAAACTCCCAGCAGGCAGTCACTATCAGATGGATGCTAAGGAGAGGAAATCTAACAAATTTCTACTGAATGATTAATATACTAATAACTTTTAATCATATATTAATTCAATCCCACAGTGAATTCCTGTCAAGTCATGCTCTTCCTAAGTTTAAACAACACAACATTGTAACAGCACATTCAGGTCATCTAATTAGACACAGTCATGGCCTTCATTCCTCTTTAGGGTCTTTCCTTTCTAGACGGCATCCTATCTTTGCGATGGTGGACAAGTGAGCATTTTTAACTCCAACTAAGTGTTTGTCAATCTTGACTCATTCCCCTCTCCTCTCTCTTTAAACCATATAAAATGAATGAAGATTTCTAATGCTCTTAGCAAGCCAAAGAGCCCCCACACTCACCAACACTCTTTCTTTAAGAACAGGTCCCTGGAGGGATGGCCACTTTTGACTTTATGGGAAAAATCTCTGTTCTTAGAAAGCTTAGATTGTCTGTATCAAGACAAATATTCAGTCTAACTCATTGTCAAAGGTGTCACATATCTATGTTGTAACCTGTTCTGGAGAAATCTGTCATCATGAGCTAAACTTTGGAACAGGCACAATCTTTTTGCCCAGTACTGGGAATTGAACCCATGGAATTATGCTATTCTCCAAGACTGGTTTTCCCTTTTAGTTTGATACGTGGTCTCATGAAGTTGCTCAGATATAGTACTCATTCTGTTCCCAAGGCTTGCTTTGAACTTGCTGTTGTCTTGCTTTAACCTCCCATGTTGCTGGGACTAGAGGTTTGCAACCAGTTTTAGCTAGGATAGATCTATTTCTAATTTGAGAGAAGAAGGTGAGGGAAGGAAAATGTTGGGCAGTGGTGGCTAACAAGGATTTTTCGTTGCACAGTAGGTGGCTCTCTGTATACCACTTACTCCTCTACTTGGAAATATTCTTACTTTCTCCACTGCCATCATCATCATCCTCTTCCTCATCATCATCGGTGTACAAGATGGGTCCATCCGAGTCAGAGTCATTGGCTTGGTAGTCTCTTGGGGCCTCATCATCTGGGGCACTGAAGGATTCTGAAGACTCTCCCATCTCCCCGGGGGTCAGTAACTGAGGTCCAGCCTTTCCCAGTTCATCTTTGGTTGCCAAACTATTAAGGGTCAAAAAGTGCAGGATAATGTGAACTGCAGAGCAGCCCTTATGGATACCAATACCAAAAAAGCATGCTAGTGTTATGAACATCCTTCATGACAGGGAAGGGAGAAATGCAACATGGGACAGCCAACCAACATCACCAACACAGAAGTTCTCTGATGCATTACTTAACTGTTGAGGTTTTCTATCTCTCATGTGTGATATCTACCACATTCAGTAAATGAATATAATGAAACTTAACTTTGCAAGCCTATTTGTCCACAAATAATGTGGCAGTAGAGGAAAGACTAGTGGGTTAGGGCTGATGGAGGGATCGCTCACTTAGTAAAGCATTTGCTGTGCAAGCCTGAATACCTGTGCTTTCAGGCCCCAGAACTCACATGACAAAAAGATATAGCTATGGTAGTGCTTGCTTATAACCTCAGTGCTGGGGAAGCAGGGACCTACCAGCAGATTCCTGGGACTCATTGGCCAACCATCAGAGCCTACTAGGCTGCAAGAAATGCTGACTTTATAAATAATAAGATGAACGACAACTGAGGCAAGACACCTGAGGCTGACTTTTGCTCTCCACATGTGCATGGACACATGTGCACACACACCCCCCTTTTTCTCCCCCCCCACACATGGACACACCCGCACACACACCCCCCCACCCACACACACACACACACACACACACACACACACACACACACCAGTAATGAGTCAGAAGCTCCACAGTACTCGACTCTGTCTGCACTTCTTGTTTGCTCTTCAAGTCTAAACATAAAGCCTCAGCTCTCCCACAGATGTTTCCGGATCATTCAGTTGACTTCCTTGCCCCTCTCCTCTGCTCTCACAGTGATCTACTGCAGAGCTTAGCATCCCTGACTTATCCTGTGCCTTTGACAAACAGGATTCAGAGTGCTCTGCATCCCAGCATCAGAAGGGTACCACACAGGAAAGCACATCTCTTATTAATACTAGAACACACCCCATTTTCTTCCCAGCCAGTGTGCCAACAGGCAAAAATCCTCGATCCTTTCTATGTTTTCGTTTCTTCATGTATAAGACTGCCTCTTACAGGACTAGACTGATGCCCAAGATGCAAAGTGTTAGATGGAAGCTTTAGAAGAAAGGGGGAGTGATGCTTTGTCATTCAGATGGGACTCTACAATGCTCGCCTAGTTTCAAAGACTAATGTAGAAGATGCCTGAGACGACAAAAACATTTAATTTTAAAAACAGTGTAATCATTATTGTAAGATACAGAAGACCTCCCAAATACTTTCTGATATAAATAGATGAATTCACAATTGGTGTTTTCACAGACAAAAAAAAAATTAAAACCAACCCCCAACCCTCCCCCAAGACAAACAACAACAACAACACCTGAAAGTGTTTTGACTGATGCACACAGGCAAACTTCATTAGAGCAAAAGGCATTTAAAACCAATTTGTGGTTCTAAGCACTTTTTTTAAACTTAGAAAGCTCCATGGTTTTATTTTTACTTAGAAAGAACCCCACAGCCTAAATTGTTCTCAAAGGGGTATATGAAATCTTCTCTGAGTGTGTGTGTATGTGTTCATGTTCATTAATTTTGAATGCATCCCTCTGTCACTGTTATGTATTTTGAGATAGAGTCTCTCATTGACCATGGAACTTAGCTAGACTGGCTAGCCAACTCCTGGGATCTGCCTGTCGCTGCTGCCTTCCTATCCCCAACACTGGTATCACATATGTGAACCTCCATGCCTTGCTTTTTCATGGGTGCTGGGGTTGAGTTAAGGTCTTTTTACCACTGAGATGTCTCTCTAGCCCTGTAAAATTGCATTTTTTACAACCCCAAATTTCCCATCTTAACAGTTTTTAAGGGTACCATTCTGTGGCATTAGGTACATTCACCTTGCTGTGTAATTATCACCATATATCTCCAAAACTTCTCCATCTCTCTAAAGCGAAGTTCTGCCCCATGAACGAATAATTCCCCACACCTCCTACCCCTCAGAACCACCATTCCACTCTCCTCCCTGTGTCTATGATGCTATTTTACAGACCTCATATAAGGATGATTATACAAACCTCGGGGTTTGCTTATTCTACTTAATGCAATGTCAAGGATATCCATGTCATAGCAGCATCAGAATTCCCTTCCTGCTGAGAGCTGGATGATCCAACATTGTGTGCATATGCCACATTTTGTTTACCCATTCATCCGCCAATACCCAGTTGGGCTGTTTCTGCCTTTTAATTAATTACTGTGTATTCATTCTACGTACAGTGGTGTACAAATCCACTTCCCCACTTTCAATTCTTTGAACTACAAGCACAGAAGGAGAATTGCTGACTTATATGGCAATTCTACGTTCACTTTTCCGAGACAAGGCAGAATGGAGTGTCATTTAAACATGGGAAGATTTATTTTTACAGACAAACTTTTCCATAGTCTAGACTATTAGTTGATTGTTGCAGAAAGCTATTCTATTTTGAGGAGGCCATCACTATGGATGACTACAGTATGTTTAAAGGGTTTTCAATTAATAATAGCCTCTGCATAGAGCAGAATAAGGTACTTCAGGGCTCAGTCCTGTTACTCATGTCATTAGTCACTAACCTATCATGTTAATTATTTTAATCTTGCCATTGGTATAGTATTTTGCAGTTTGAAGAGTTCAGTAACATTTATTTACAACTCACAACTATTTAAAACTATAAGGTGGTTAGAGAAGACAAGGCTGTAAGTACCCACCCAACGTGGCCAGTGCAGTGTGGGATCCAGACTGAGACCATTTGTTTACTTACTAAATTTTATATTATATGATTACTATAATTAGTTAATATTAACTATGCTCCATGTCTGCATTGGTCAGCTCACACCTCAACCCTGAGGGTTCCTGAGAACACTGGACAACATTGAACATTACATAAATTCTTATTGAGGGGACTCAACAAGTCATTTTTAAATATGACCTGAAATGGGTTGAGTTTTTTTTTCTGCCCCACATTACAGAGATGTCTGTGTTATGGATAGAGCTGTAAATGAATAAAAACTTACTGAACAGCAGTCTGCAAGATAGGAGGAGAGGTGGGTATTTTTATATACAACCACTAGCCCTATTTCAAGTTTTGATATTTGTATCCCAAACAGAAGGCTTTTCATACTATGACAGAGTTTTCACACATTGGGTGACTAAATATAACCAAGGGAAAGTTCTAAGGAAAGCAAGTGAGTGAGAGCCAAAAACTCTAATTCAAATTCCACTTGAAAAAGGGAGAATTTGGGAGAAAATCTGAGACACTGCATTTTCCAGGCTCATTAGGTCAAGGGCAAACACAAACTACCCCTGAAGAATGCATTATAATGTCACTTTTTAAATTTTAAGAATATACTAAGAAGAAAACAAGTTCTTCTAGGAAACTCTGAGAGTTACCCTAGCTGATGGGAAAAATATAAAACACACCTTTAATGTCGAATGAGACCGAAGCTCACTCCCTTTACTCCCAGCATCTCTGGAAATGGAAAACTCATGTTTACTCCTTTATTTAAAAATTCTCCAAGTATCTGGGATAGCTAAGACATTAAATTCCTAGTATAATGTGGCGCTTAGCATAATTAATATAGTCTCTAAATGATCATGGAAATGAACTGGGAAGAGTCAGTTGCCTATGGATATGAGCTCTCTGAACACTAACAGCTACACAAAGTTGCCTTTCTCTTTAGCATAGCGAACAACAGATCTATAGACTGCATCCACTTTCTAAAATTGAGATCTTGCCTCCAACACATGCTTCCTGCGCACACCGACGAATATTTTGATTCAAATCAACTCTTTGGGACTAGCTTGCTTTGCTCATGTATATGCTTTGGTGTTTGCTGCATGTGCTCAGCACAGAACAAACCAACCCCAATTACACCCTGAAAAAAAAAAAAAGAAAAAGTTCAATTTGAAGGTTTGAAATAATGGCAGTGCTGAGCAATACTACAATTACAGGAAGGTGTGCTGTGTGTTAGAAGCAGTAAGGACACTGCTGTGAGGGTTTGGATGTGTCCCTTGGAATTCAAGTCTCGCGAACTTTGTCTTCAATGCATTAGCACTGAACGGCAAGGCCTCCTGAGGGCAAAGCCATAATGAATAGATGAACTCCATTACAGAAAGGGCTCTTGGGACATGGTTAGCTGTCTTTCTGTATTGGCCCTGCCACCCTCTGCAGCAAGAACTTCCTCATTAAATGCTGGTGCTTGATATAGACTTCTCAGTCTCTGGAATTTTGAGTCAATACATGCACATTCCTTACAAATTACAATCTCTTGGGTAGTCTGTGGCAGCATCACCAAACAGATCAATAATGATAGTCTAGCAGAGTAGGATGGTGGTGGAGCACGTCTTTAATCCCAGCACTTGGAAGGCAGAGGCAGGCAGATCTCTGTGAGTTTGAGTTTAGCCTGGTCTACAGAGCTAGTTACAGGACACCTAGGGTAACACAAAGAAACCATGTATTGGAAAACCAAACCAAAACCAACCAAAAAAACAAACAGTGTATCATTTATCTTAATGTCTTCTGCCTTTTATAGCTTTTACTAAAATGTCAGGCAAATAATTTGTAACTTGATATTTATCATCACTTGCTTTTCCTTCAAATGATACGTCTCCAAATGCTAAAAATAAGGAACCAATAAACTGTTGGGAAAAAAAGAGCAGAATTTGATGCAATTATTTTGGAAAAAAAGGAAACTGTTCCAGGCATGGAGTTTGGTGTGGAGTGCTAACATTGGCTTCTCACTTGGCCACTGCTAATCTGGCAATGACACCAAGCAAACTATTTGAACTCTCAGTTGCAGGGTTTTAAATAATAATAAAAATAGATTTATAAAGTAGAGACATTCTGGAGAAAATTTATATGAATTAAATGATAACAGACAGTGCTTGATCCCCACACTGATCAAGTAATCAAAAAATGAAGGGTAATATTATCAACAGTTAAACAAAGTGTCTTGATCAAAGCCAACCGAATTGATATATTTGAGCATTTTTCAGAGCTTAACATGACAAATTTTTGAAATGGGTTCCATTAAATGACTCAAAGACTGAAAAAATAGAAACAGGAAATAGGCTAGACTTTAGATTTCAGTCTTCCCTAGACAGAATTGATAATTGCATAATTGACAACTGCATCTATTATATCTCTGCTATTCTTCCCTAATACCTAAGGGGCAGGAGGTCTAACCTGTCTAAATCAACTTTAACATATTTATAGGACTTTTTGAGTGGTATCAGTAAAGGAAGGTAAAGATCCTAATAAGATCCAGGTTTCTAGATTGGGAAACTGGACAATAATGGGCCACTAGCCTACAAAGGGCAAGACCAAGTTCTTTGGTCCATTTTATTTTGTTATTTTCTTGAAGAAAACTAAAAGGACATGACCACAACTGTGCCTTCTTTAGAATCTATGGAATCCATCCAGAGGCCTCTCACCTTTAGCATGTCACTGATGTTGACTGACATTGGCTCACTTTCTCACTGTCATGTGACAATTCAGTGAGTATGTACTGACGGCTACAGTGTATTAGACTCTATACTGGTTGCTAGGAACACAGAAGTAATTAAGGCATGCTGTTTAGTTCTACCCTATATGTAGGAAAACTTTTCCAAATAAAGTAGTCACTAGAAGTTCTGTCAACAAGTATCAGAAGACTTCACAGAAAAAATTAGGATTCAGTGGAGAATTAGGGAGACAGGAGTCATTCTGTTCTCGGTATGAGTAGATCCAGAATTTGAAAGAGTTCTTTACTGCTGGTCTTAATTTTCCTGGAGAAGAAAGCTGAGATGAAGCTGAGCAAGAATGGATGACTTATCTGGGACCAAATGTTGAGGGTTTAAAACAAGTACCAGAGGTAAAAAGAAGGAAGATGTCTAGGTAGAAGAAAAGAATGATGAACCATGCTGATAGAGGTTCTAAACATGTTCGGCGTCAAAGTATATTTGTTAGCATCATCACTGTGATTTTCCACACAGCCTAAGGGACCCCACAATCAGACCTTAGGAAACTCACTGGTGAGACTATGGGTGTGTTTATCTAACATCCAGCATGTTTAATACAGACAGGAGCAGACTACATTCTTTTATTCCGCGAGAAAACTGTAGTAGCTTGTGATACTTAGACAGCATATAGAGTCTGTGTCCTCACTCACCCTTGTGCATGTTCTCTGCTGTCACTTAAGTCGGCACTTCTGTTTGCCTGTTCTTCTGTCCGAAGGAGCTGACTTGGGTCTAAGGCAGAGACAGGCAGGGTAGGCCCATCACTGGCCAGGACCGTAGGATTGTCCAAGGCAACAATGCCCTGATCCTCAAGAGGCAGAGGAAGGGCAGGTGGTGAGGGCAGTGGTGCCACAGGAGATGAAGGGACGGTAGCCTTGGATTTGCCTGTGGCCTGCTCCTCAGCTCCAGCATCAGTCTCTTCTTGTTTGAGACTCTCTATCCCAGTGTCTGACGGCTCTTCTTTAAGACTAGACGTGTCAGCCGTGGTGGTGTCTGAGGACAGTAGGGATGCTGTTGGCTGCTTGCCAATTTTTTTCTTGCCCCTGGTGGTCCCCACTATGCCTGTTTTGCTAGCAACTGACTCCTTGGACACTTTGGGACGAGAGGAGGTGGAGGAAGCAGATGCTGAGGCAGATGCTTTGGAACCAGCTGTTTTCTTCGGATGAGAAGAGCCAGCTAAAATAGAGAAATTTTTGCATTAAAAAAAAAATCAAAGAATACAATACACTTCAAGTGACCAAGATGCAATTGCCAATGACATTTGAAATGCTCCCTTTAAAACACATCAAGTCAAGAAATGTTAAATAATTGGTCAATTATGATAATGGACTTGTTTTCTGTTCCTTCCTAGCCTTTTCCTGTGAGAGGGAACAAGTGACATTCAAGTAAAAGCAAAGGGCAAGAAGCCCCTTCTTTTCTCTCCTCCATCGTCACCAGAAACAGCTAAATGGGACAGCTGCTCTTCACTCTGAGTAACTCTTACAGACTCTGAAGAAGAAACCTGGTCCTATGAAGGGACACTACTGGCAATCTGGCTGCAAGACACAAATGGGCTGGGCTCTTCCTTGTTTCTTTCTGAGGATGGAGAGGTGGCCCATATTCAGAAGAATCAGGGTATATATTGTCAGTTCCTTTTCTGGGTCACAAGCAAATTAATTGATCCCACTACTTTCCAAGTGGTAAACTCCAAGGCAACTCTTCCCAAAACTCCAGAGAAGGAAGGCTGTCCTGTTGGCCTATACTTCCACTTGCTGTATGTAGTGTGTGTGTGTGGGGGGGAACAGAGGGGACAGTCACAGCGGAGATCCCCCAAAACATCAGAATGCAAAGAAAAAATGTTTGCTGTGGTTTAAAAATATTTACATGGGTAGAATCTGAATAATCTGAAGAAGAACCTCACTCCTTGCTTGTGCACACACACGTGTGTGTGTGTGTGTGTGTGTGTGTGTGTGTGTGTCTATGTCTGTGTGGTTCCCCATGCTCATGCCCTTGAGAGGGTCTTCTGAGGCACTCAGTTTGGTTTGGAGCTCCTGGGCTCAGATGATTCACTTGTTTCTACCTCCTGAAGCGGGGACTTCAGTGCACAGCACTTTAACTTTTTCCAGAATTTCCAATCCCAACCACCCTGACCACCTAGTTATTTTTACTTTTTAATGTTCTAGGCAGGCCTTCAAAGGACTGCCAGAGCCATACCTTTGCTTATTTCTAGACAGAGCTGTCATCAACTAAGCAATTTCCAGGAAACAGTTAGGTAGCCTTTCTTTTCTTTCTTATAATTACGTGCATATATTTTAATTTTTCTTTACGTCACCCTAGGAAATCCATTTAAAATGCCATGTCAATATTCATTTGGTTCACTGTCTTTCTGATCTATATTTTCTCCTATTCTCTTTACTATTACAATGCTACATAGTCTTACTTTCCTAAGGGAGGGGGCTAAGTTTTTTTCACACAACTATCAAAAATGTCTTGGTAATACTCCAGGGTCATCCCATACCGCACACAGGCATCATAGTGACTTACCTCTGGAGGCAACTTTATTGACATCAGTGTGAGAATTGAAATGAAGAACAAACAGAGGAACAGACAATGAGACATATAACTACATTATTTTTGACATGTAAAGAAGCCAGTCTTATTTGGTGACAAGATTCAGGCTTACAAGGTATCTCTGGTTAGGGCACCTACTATTTGAGATACACACAATAACTTGATTTCCCCTTTGCCAAATCTTGGCTTGTCTGTAGACTTAATGCACCTGATAATCTTTCTCTAATTACAAGTGAAACTCATAACCATACTAAAAAAAATCTAACCCCACTCTAAATTGATCTTTTAAATAACAAAGATATGAAGGGTTTTGTGCTTAAACATGTTCAATTATTTTCTTAGTTAAGTTAAACAGATCCTTTCTTCATATCCATTCTAATGTCAATTGTAACATTTTTGAAAATTCTCCTTTTTTAACAGAAAATCTTTAATATCATCCCATTTTAAAGAAAAATACTTTTTCCAATACCTGAAGTGAAAATTCAAGCCATATTTTTTTTTAGGTTTGAAACCTAACATCCCAGCCTTTTGTTGATAATAAATAGATAAGGGACAATGTGTAATCTTTGCTTTTAAAGTCTCTTCTAACAAGAGGGGACTTTAATGAGAATAATTAAAAAAGAAATTCCACCTTGAGTTTAAAATGTTTATTAATAGCAACAATGAGAAAGAGAAAATCCTGGCAAAATCAATGACATTCTAGACTGACAGGTGGATCAATGGGGCCTCTACATGCAGAGAAAAAAATGTAGGTGATACCTGTTCACAGAATGCAAGAAATGTAATGGAAACAATCAAGAGTCCCAAGACAGCCCCTGCTTCTCAGGGACAGCCCCAGAAGTGGTCACATTCACTTACAGAAAGGGCCTGCGTCTGTTGCATTAATACAACGGATAAGATGACAGTTCCTCTAGTTCATAGAGAACATCATAGGAACATCATAAGTATATACTAAATCTTCAAGAAAGCATTTGTAACTAACTCAAGATCTGTCCTGAATGCTGTGTCCAGCCTTTATGTTCATCACCAGATTTCTTCCCAGGGTCTGAGCTCACACCACCTCGAGAAGGAGCAAGGGAGGAAGTATATGCAAGACAGGATCTCAATTCCCAAGGGCAAAGTGATAGCTTGGGAATTTTCCTTACTTAGGAGCTTGGTACCTTTCTAACTTCACACACCACTGCTAGGCTTTGCAGGGTCATGGGGGACATACAGACACCAATATGAAAAGATGCTGAGTTCCCAAGAAAATGGTCCTTAGGCATTGCTGGCTTATCATTCTGAGATATTTCACTTGAGAGTGATTAGAAGAGGCCTGTGCACCAAAGATCAAAGCCCAGGGAGAGGTCTACTTGCATTTTTACATTGCCAATTAAACCATTCTTTGAAACTCAGGATGACGAGTATAAATTACAAGAGGAAAAAGATCAACACCAAGGCAAATCCTTGTAGTTAATTTCTGGAGATCTGCTGCCAATTTTAAGGGAACTAAGGTTTGGTACAGTACAAAAGAATTTTTAGGCACACATTAATGGGGAAAAGTCATTGATGATGGGAATTTTGATTTTTGTCCCTTTAAAAGTTAGATGACATAGCCTGCATTTTTATTCCATGAGAAAAATGGAATGCGCACTTTGCATTAAGCATGTAAGGTTGAGAAATATATGAATCTGCAAATGCCCATTCATGATTTGTAATGGAAATGTGTAATTGCAATACATTAGGATCTGATGGTCTGCTGGGGTGGATAAATGGGGCAGCACTGAGCAAGCAACTCTCAATCCACAAAACAATGGTTAAGAGGAATAGAAAATGGGATGTTGCTGACCATGTGTATGAGCCTCTTGTCATCTGTCAGAGGACAGCTGGCTACACACGTTGAAAAATTGAAAACATTATGATCTGGCAAATATGTCAAAGACCCATATCATATCTTAACACACAAGTCTAGGGCATTTTAAAAGAGGAAAACCAACAAGCCACTCATAAACCCTCATGGGCAGAAGGCCTAGATACTGTTTCATCAGGTCAGCCTCACTCCCAGGCACACTAAAGGAGTGAGTCTTGTGTACTGATTGTGGAAACCAAGATCAGCAGTTCACAGTTACTCCAAAGACAACAAAGCTAACTTTTCTTGGTAGATAGCTATCGCTACCAAGGAGTATCTGAGGCATTCTTGTGATTCGCAGGTATTGGACCCTGAGACAACAAAAGACCACACTCCTGGAAGAAGCTACAGACCCCATCCCAGGGCCAGACATCCTGAACTTTACTCCGTTATGTACTAGGGCATACTCACCAGCCTCCCGGGTTGTGTTTCGGCTTGTTGGCTTGGGTGGAAGGGTGGGGGCCTGCTTACTGGGAGCCTTGGCATTTTTTCTATTAGGAGGCACTTCATCCCCTTTGTGGCTGGCCCCAGCAGTGGCCCCTTTGGGAGGCACAGGAGATTTTTTGGGTTTAGGTTTGGGTTTAGGCTTAGGAGGAGCTGTAGGAGGTAGAGCAGGAGCAGCCGGTGTTTCAGAGTGGATTTCAGTGTTCTCTATGAATGAGAAAGTGAACAGAGCAGACTGAAACAGACACACACCATAGAAAAGCAAGGAGCAAGACATGGCGACAGTGACACATACAGATGGCTTTATGACATTTGGAAACCAGACAGTGTTTGTACCAGAGGAAGCCAGGTTTCAAGGCAAAACAAAACTTAAAAGACAGAGTGGGGAGGGTTCTCTGAGTCCATCAATCACTCCTTTGATAAAAGGGTGACACAAGTTACTATGATGAAGTCACACCGAGGATCAGTGTCAACATGCACTAGCCGTCACCCTTATTCCTGCCTTCCCACTGTGGTTGCTGGATGATGACATCAGCAGTGAGTGCTAAATGCAACACAGTTACCAATTTAGCAAAGTGAAGGACCCTCAAGAGTGGCAGATAAATGTAGTCCACACACTGCCAGGAGTGAGACCGACAGCCGCAGTAATGACTGCACTTCCGGTTGTCTTTGAAACTCACCCCCAGTTAATCAGAAGTCGTAGTGTGGCCAAAACAATCATGTACAGTCTATACTCTGGGAGACTCCAGGGGCGTTTGCCACAATGCACTTGGCAGTTACTTTCTATTAGAGTGCTTTCTCGTTCTCCCAGCAGAGCAAGGCAGCTTCAAATTCTACAGTGACTCCTTCCACCCTTTCCACCAGAGCCACAGCTATAGGTAGGTAAACAAAATGCAGGCTAAAAAGTTCACATTGTCTTACAATGCATGCTTCCATAATAGTTTTAAGAAGACAAAGCACACATTTCTCAGAAAGAAATTGTACACAAGAAGAGAAGGCCCCTTGAGAGCTGGAGAAGAAACAGTATTGCTCTGGGGATGCTGAGAGTTGATTATGTCCCCATGTCTGTATTATTTGCAATCGTGACTGAAATAAATTAAAATACAGCTCCAGCCCAAACAGCTAAGTGGTATCTCTTTTAAAATGAAGCACAATAAAAACTAAAGACAGTGTCAATACTAGCCAGCCCTTACTGAATAGATCTTTCCATGCTCGAGTGACCAAGAAGGTCATGGCATGTCATATTCCGTTACCATTTCTTCTGTTTTGTTTCTTATCCTAGCAACCATGAATTGAGTACTCCCCCCCCCTTTAAGCCCCATCCTCTGTCAATCAAACCATGTGTCTAGCTGAAATAGTGATTTCAGTTACAGAAGCTAATCAATAAAAACTTTGTTTTAAAGTCACCCCCCCACCTCCTTGCCCTAGCCATGACCTTCACCAAGTGTGGCTGTCCAAATTGGTCCCTTCTACCTCTGCATGTATTCAGTCTTACAGCACCAGCCACTTCACATCTCAGATAACTTCACAACTCTATAACTCTGCCTTTCTGGTCGTATATCTCCTCTCAATTTAGAGTCTTATTCTTCAACATGCAGGACTTCCTCCAACCCACCTGGTGTGAATCAGGGGTCCCGGTGGCCACAGAACTCCATTAGAACTGAGAAAGATGCAAGGAGACACAGAGCTAAACACACAAACTTATTGAATGATATTTGACATAGGGAGAAATGTATTCTTTTTGTTCCTACTGTGTGTTTGTGTGTATAGATATATAGTGTACATATGTGAATGCACATATGTGTACATGTGTATAGAGGTCAGCGGCCAATGTCAGGTGTCTGCTCAATTGCTCTACACCTTACTCTTTTAAGATATGGACTCTCATTTAACCCAGAGCTCACATATTGGGTAGGCCAGCTGACTGTCAAGGTCCAGGGATCCTCGTGTCCTTGCACAGCCCCCACTCCATGCTACAGTCACAGATATGAAATACCATACCTGGTTTTATGTGGGTGCTGGGGATCCTAATTCAGATCTTCTTTGTGTAGCAGGTACCTTACCTATTGAGCCACACCCCCAGACGTCTACTCTTTAAACACATCTCCGTGGCTTTAGTTTCTGTCACACAGCCTTGCATGGAGATCAATCCCCGTGATCTCTACTGGAGAGTGCTGATTGGTACACTTGGGGTCTTGACTTTCTAAAAATATTATAAACCTAGTAGGTCATTTTTGGGTTTGTCTGCTTAATGTTTAAGTTGCAGAGCATGTAGTTAGCCTCTGTGAGACCCCAAGTTCAATCTGGAGCACAAATAAATGAATAAATAAGCAAACACTCCAAACAGTCCAACTTTGGGCTTGGGTGGGAAAGGGTGGGTTGATTCTCTGACAGTTGAAAGTACCCATTCCTATCAGGGTGGATACAATACACACAAACCCTAGTAGTTCTCTGGGAACCATGGAGCGTTCCTCTTTAGCCTCCCAACTCCACCGTGACAGTGCTCTGTTAAGTGCCTGACACACTGGTGATCCCTAAGTTGTGTGAATGTTCATGTGACTATACAAAGATTATGTTCTTCTAACTAGATTAAAATTGCCTTCTATCTGAAAATTTGTATCTAATCAAATACAATGCCTTAAAAGTCAGGTCTGTTCAATGAGTGTGCCTGGTTGACAGCATCGACAATCAGGGGAAAGCACCTTGTATGTGGGTGGTAAGGAATTAGGTTATATTTTTGACTGTGAACATCTGATTCAGACTTTGTACAAATTGATGGTGGAGCAAGAGAACATTGTCATTTTAAGTGGATGTCATGAGAGAACTGTCTGTTCATTCTGGCTTTGGGAGGACACAAGGCTTCACAATAATGGTCTGGAAACTAAGCTGTCCACTCCACTTCCAGGCTTGGCTCTCTCATCTACATAAAGGGCTGAGGTCAACAGTTAGAGCAATCCAGGACTACATGTGTCCTGCACCTGGTCTGGGATGTATTTCTGTTCCAATTCCTTTCTTTTACCTGCCTGTCTCCTTCCAGTCTCCCCTAGGACTTTGTCTGGAAAGATGTTGTATAGAGAAACAATTCTGGTCTCCACTGAGAGTTCCTTGGCTTTGGTACTGTGGCTTGCTCAGAGCCTTGCATCTCATGATTATTACCTGTGAACCACCTGTTCTCTTAGGGGATCTGTTTTTGGACAGAGGCCACTCTTTATTCTCTTTGTGGCCTCTCATAGAGTTTCACTCATGTTAGTCTTTCCGCACTGTTTGTGAAACAACCAAATGTTGATCCCTGTTCCTTCATTAAAGGCCTTTCATAATTTTGACATGGAAACAATGCAGAACAACTTTCAGATTTCATGTTGTTATACTGGAACAGATTATAAAGATCACATTTTGTGTCTCATATATCTAAGGACATCTACTGAGGGAAAAATAATAGGAGACCAGGAACCTAGAAGACCTTGAGGAAGAAGTTTAGTGTTTCCAGAAGAGTCCCAAGGTTATACTATGCCAACGGTAGAATCAGGATCCTTCAGAACACAGAAATAACCACATAGCCTGAACCAGACCCACCCACAGAGCCAGGGTGGTGGATAGCACCTGACACATGCTCTGCTTTTGAATATTTTCTTAGACAGAGGGAAAAGTGAATCAGGCTGGCTTTTGGAATTAAAAAGTATAGGACTAAAGAAGTAATTCATACCTTTATTCATACGTAATTTCTATTTAAGCTAATTCTCTGTGATATTACTCATGAGTGGCAATCTTTTTAGCTTCGGGAAATGGCTTTCATTCTTAATACCTCTCTTTGTTAGTGGCACAGCTCCCCCTGGGCTCTGTCCACACAAGAGGGAGCTACAGCAGCCACATCATGGCACACCAGCACTCCTGGCATCTCCCGTCTCCTAGTGAACTGATGCTATCATGGAACTTACTTGCCTAGAGAGAACTAAACGTACTAATTTGAGAGATAAGACAACAAACCCTCTCTCAGTCCTTCGTTGACCTACAAAATCTACCATCTTTTCCATAGAACACCAAGGCCTGCCAGTTTAACTAACACAAACCTGTCAGCAACACTTTATCATGCTGATAAGGGAGGCTCTTTCTTTTAAGTCTGGCCAGTCATGGAGTGGCAATGACACCCACAGGGACTAGGGACAAACCACAGATGGATATGAAGTTTAACAGTTTGTTGAGACAGGAGAGTTGGAATGAAAGAAAATAAAAAAAAACAGGTACCTGTCCCCTTCCCAACCAAACTCATGTCCTGTAAGCGAATCTCTTTAAAAATCTGTCTGCTTTCTTATTCTGTTTCAGAAATATTGTCATTGAAAGTACAAGCTAATCTTTTATAATCAGTGTTAATAATCTTAACTAGAAGTTTTCATTGGGAGAAATTAGGGAAGGTCCTATAAATGTAATGCTTAATATCTGAGGACGTCCAATTAGTACATTTCCAATAGCTTACTCAGTGAAGGCATTATACTGTCTATGCAAATGATCACAGGGTTCCAGTCTTCCAAAGATGTCTTCACATTAACAGGCTAACTTAATAAAGTCTTCCTTTCTGTCTTGTCTGCAGGAGGATTTGGATCAAGAGAAGACGTTCACTTAAAGGAATTTCTAAGAGTTCTCAAAATATCTACTCAACCCAAGGGAGGTTGACAAATGTTACCAACCAACTCAGAGACAAACCTTATGGAAAATGGGAAACATACTATTTCCTGAAGATCCCTTCCTATGCCCATGGCAAATGTATTCAGAATTTTGCGGCTAAACTTTTCCCTATAGGATATCCGCTCAAGGTTTACATAAGCATTAGGCTTGTGTGGAATTGTGATGGATCCACCATTAGTTATTCAAGAACATTCTGGAGGACCCCATTCGACCTATATTTGCCATGCCCACTCTAGAACCCAAAGTTTTTAAGAGAACCCTTTGTGGGAACAGCATAGTTGCCTCTGGCATTTTCTGAAACTTCTGAGCACACAGGTAGATCACAGATAAGAGACAGTGGCATTGAAACCACAGCTCCTTATGGAACTCCTCCTTGGTATGTCTTAGAAGTGTCTAGAACTTAGAATACTGGGGTATATGGATGCATCAGCTACTTCCTGCTGCCAGCAAGGGATTCTAGGCTGAGAGACGCATGACCCCTTGTTGAGCGGCTCACATAGACCAGCTACAGGTGAACCAACATTCCGACTGCTTGTGTTTTTCACCTTGAAAGAAAGCTGTTATGAAAAGGAGATCATTTTCAGGTAAATGTAATTTCTGAAGGGTTTAGTCCTTGGGATCAGGACCATTAATTAGCTCTTCTCCTTAACACAAGAGCAGACATCATAGTTATAAACAGATGTATCCACCTGAGGAGGCCACGCTGTCTCTCTTTCCTAGTTTCCTTCTCTCTCTTCTCCCAATTTGCAAGCCTCCTGTCTGCAGGCTCCTGGTTTTAGGGTCACTCTTTGGTTCTCAATGCCGGGCTGCACTACAGGCAATAATATGGGATTCTCTTTATTTTTTTTACCTTTCTTATCTTCTGCCTTTTCCTCCCGAGGTGGTGTTTTCTCACACACAGAGCCATTCCCTTCTTCGGGTTTCCCTACATTCTCCTCTTGGGTAGATTCCTCTCCGATGTGTATCATGTGCCCGTTTGAATTTTCAAAGTTAACTGTTACATCTCCATCTAAAATTGGAAAGAAATACCTCGATGTCTAACTTGATGGCTTTCTTTAAAAATCATTTTCCCATTTACTAGGACTGCAGGATCTGGGTTCATGTTTCTTTCCCTGGAAACCAAATCACCATGTTTTTCCAACAAATTTCTTTAAAAAGGAAAGAGGTAGAAAATTCTTGGTTTCAAGGGAAAGCAACAATGGAGGGAGAGCCCTACACAATTTGAAGACATCAGGCATGGCCACCCTAATCACCCAGTGCCCTAGGTCAGCAGAGTTCCTCTGTCCTTGTGTTTAGGTTTGGTTGAAGTAAACACTTAGGTTTTTCTTTTGCATCCAGAAACTGAATGAAGGAATGATCTGGAAAATGGAACAAACATTGTAACATGTCAAACCACAAAGGGAATACAAATATACAAAGAACATGAAATGTACTTACACATACAGACAGTAAGGGGATGGGGGTGGGGGTGGGGGTGGTGGTGGTGGTGGTGGTGGTGGTGGAAGAACTCCAGGCACCAGCACCTGCTGAGTGTGTTAGACAATGTCCACACTCTACACAGCAGTGTAACTGTGAGCATGTTATACTATGTCCACACTCTATACAGCAATTAACTGTTACCTTTGTTCAGGAAAAAGATGGTTTTAAGACTAATTTCACTTTTTCTTCGTTATGGGAAGAATAAAGCTAACTATAGCTAAAAAACATACACCAAAAGCTAGTTAAAGAACAATTTTTAAAATTTACTGATTAAAGTAGAATTCCTCACATATTCTAAATCATAAAGACTAATTTTAACTCCTGGACTATTGTAAGTCCTGAAGGTATTTAAAATTCAAGGGATTTTCAGAATTTAGTGGTGCTTGAGAGGATTATCCCAGTAATTATTCCTATACACAGAAACATAAAAAAGGCTCTGCTACCACCATAAGAGAAAAATTAAGGAACCAAAGTTTTGATTTAAACTAATTTGAAGAAATTTATTAACAGAGTTTTTTTTCTATGCAGTTTTAAAAATTAATTTCTAGGCAATCATAAAATAACGATCATAGCCGGGCAGTGGTGGCTCGTTCACATCTTTAATCCCAACACTTGGGAGGCAAAGACAGGTTAATCTCTAAGTTTGAAGCCAGCCTGGTCTACAGAATGAGTTCCAGGAGAGCCAGAGCTACACAGAAAAACCCTGTCTTGAAAAAGAAAATTCTCAAATTTTAACTGATTTCCTTCATAAAATTCACAGGCCTTCTTGAAAAAAACAAACAAACAAACAAAACAAAACAACAACAAAAAACCCCATGACATCTCCATAGCTAAAATATAGAATTATGCCATGTTGAAAATGAAAATGGAATTGACACAGAGTCATGTAGTTCCTAAGGACCTACTCTGATTCTTATAGAAAAGTAAAACAGAGAATAATACAAGGCAAGGCCATTGCAAATGAATCTTCACAATTTCAATAATATTAGGTAAAACTTATTGGACTTGAAGCAATTAGTTTTAAAAAGAGAAAAAAAGGAACACCAAATACATAAAAGTAATATAAATTGGACAGTTCTAAACAAAACCGAAAACACCCCACTTTATATATAAATCCTTACCATTAGAGGAATTCAAATAAAGCTTTTATTTGTGATTTCTGATTATAGTTAGTAGAATCCTAAAGTCATGTCAACAATAACTTAATGCTATTTTGTGATCATATTTTTATCACTTTATTACATTTAACATTACACTAGAAAACAGCTATAGAAAACTTGAATATTATCACAATAGTGTGCATGTTAAAAAAATAGTCATGGGGAAAGGTACTTACACTGAGTCATTAAATAAAAATAGTGCATATAAAAGTAATGGCAGAAAAAAGGCTATTTGTAGAAAATGGGAAGTTCACAAAACCAACTAAATATATTAAAGTGAATGGCATCTATATCTAGAAAGCTTTCTTAGAAATCTGTTAAAGTTTTCTCAGAATTAAAATAAATTAAATCCCCGATATAGGAAGCTGTGCAAGCAAAACATAAGCCTAGTAAGAGAAGATGGTGCTGAGCCAGGTCTAGGCTATAGGGACAGGTGACAAACACTGGAAGAGTCTGTGACTCACAAAATCATGTTCAGCTCAGAGGAAAAGCAAGAGAACCATTACACCAAGAAGATCACAGGTGACAAGAAAAAAAGGTGATTCTCCAGGAGGGAGAAGCAAACTAGAAGATATGGAAACCAGATGCCAGGTAAGCAGGTAAGACACTTGTGTGATCTCAAGTTACAGACTCGAGAAAAGATGGAGGCAAAGAAGTAAGTGAGGACTAGAACATTTGTGAGGACTTCTCCGGAGGGAAGATCATTTGGTGAACTTTTAGATTGAAGTTAAGCTTGGTGTGAAAAACACAATCTGGAAGGAATAACAATCATAGCTGAGATAGAGGTTACAGGACAGGATGGGGTGAGGTCACAGCCATGGCAACTGGAGGGACTTCATTGGTCTATCTGGTCCACAGAATGAAGCTCATCGCTGACATGCCCTGTCAGGAGTTTCAGTGATGTCAAAAAGACAGAGGCCACGAGTGCATCTTCACTGAAGGAGAGAGACTGTCACAAAACAACAACAGCATCCAGCCTCTCAGACAGAGATTCTCAAGATAATTGTCTTGGGGAAGATGACTGCTAAAATGAGAAAATAGAAAACTACTTTCTCTAGCACTTGGCTAAAAACCGGGAGACCTCCAATGGGCATCCTCAGGTACTTGCGACCATTGGTAATTCTGGTGTTCTAAATGAAAACTGTGCCAAAGTACAATGTAAAATTCAACCAGCTAGCAGTCTCCACCGACACTTCTGAATTAGGAAACACATCTGGTCAGTAAGCTCTACTAACAGGTTTCGATCACAATTGTCCCCTTTTATTTTTAATGGGATTTGATTTTTAATTTTAGTTATGTGCGGGTGTGGTGTGGTGGTGGTGGGGGTGGTGGGGGGGTGGTGGTGGTGGTGGTGTTGGTCGTGGTGGTGTGTGTGTGTGTGTGTGTGTGTGTGTGTGTGTGTATCTGCAGGTATGTGCATGTGCATGCAGGTCCTTCAGAAACTGGAAGAAGAGGTCAGATTCCCTGGAGATAGAGTTGCATGCAGTTGTGAGTCTTTAATATGGGTGCTGTGAACTGAATTTGTATCCTCTGCAAGAGCAGTAAGCACTCTTAACTGATGAGCAATCTTTTCAGCTCCCCTTTCCTCTCTTTAAAACATTTTCAAAATATGGGACACTGAACAAATGAATGGGTCACTTCACAAAGTTGACTGCAAAGGCTTCAGCTGTGCAATTTCTCTGTTGCCTTCAGAGACTGGTGGGAGATGGACATGTCTACTGCATGCCTACCCTCTGCATGCCTACCCTCTGCATGCCTACCCTCTGCATGCCTACCCTCTGCATGCCTCTGCATGCCATGCCTACCCTCTGCATGCCTACCCTCTGCATGCCTACCCTCTGCATGCCTACCCTCTGCATGCCTACCCTCTGCATGCCTACCCTCTGCATGCCTACCTCCTGCATGCCTACCCTCTGCATGCCTACCCTCTGCATGCCTGCATTCTACATGCCTACCTCTGTTTGCCTACCTTCTAGACAGCTACCTCTTGCATGTCACCTCCTGCATGCCTACTTCCTGCATGCCTACCTTCTACATGTCAACCTCCTGAAAACCTACCTCCTGCTAGGAAGGGGAAGTGTGAACATTTTTCATTTTTAAAGCTCCGAGGCAGGAAACAAATAACTTCAAGGAAATAGCATATTGAAAAATACAAAGAGGTCATTAACAAAGATGAGTGGGAAAAATTTGACAAGTCAGAAATTGAAGGAAAATTTCTAAAATTGTGATGGCTTGCTCAATCAAAATAGTATTATTCCATTCAGGTTTCCCTCACTCCTGAAGCAGCCATGCATTTCCTAGCTGCATATTCTGTTATGAATAATGAAAAAAAACATGACATTTCAACTAATATACAAAGTATGCTCCCAAATATTATACTCTTTATAAGGATATATATATATATATATATATATATATAATGCTCTCTATATGTTCTCTCTCACTGTCTCTCTGTCTCTCTCTCTGTCTCTCTCTCTCTCTCTCTCTATATATATATATATATGAGAAAGGAAAGAGAAAAACAAAGCAAAAACAAACATATATATATAGAGAGGGGGGAGGGAAGTATCATTATTTAAATTCCAAATCAATTGCATTTTTTTCCCATAAAATCTCAATAATAGTACATTCCCCCAGTAAACTTGGGGGAACGAAGGAGAAGATTGAGATAAATCATCAGCATGGTAGTAAAATGTTGTTTAGTTTTGAAAGCAGTGGGAGCAAAGAAAATAATACTGAATTATTTATTTGTCAAAATAACCAGTGTTGGTGTCTTCTTTGAGGGACAGTCTCAATTTCAAATAATTGTCTTTTCTAATCAACTTCCCTCCTTCAGAGGATACAGGTAACAGGGAAGAAAGGAAAGAGAAAAACAAAACAAAAAACCAACAACAACAATAAAAAAACTCCAGGAGAGAATTATCAGTAACAAGATGAGAGGCCAATAGGACTCAGAGAAACAAAAGAGGAGCAGATTACTTGGGAGAAAGGCAGAGTAAGTTGGTCACTCATGCTTTATTGATTTGTGAGCATGAGTGAGTATATTAGACAATGTAAGGGACATGGCACAAGGCTGCTGCAATCTCCTTTATTGGCAGTGTTTAGGAAGAAGTAAGTCTTGAACAAACTAAAACTGAGCTCACTCAAACAATTGAGTTTGACTTGATTAGAAGAGAAAAGCTTGAGGTCCAGGAGGGAAGGAGCCAGGCAAGCATCTTGCCCTGTATCTCTAGCTACCAGTACAACAGCCTGAAGAGCACAGAGTTTAAAGCAACCCATGGAGAAGTATTGACTAGAAAAGTCACCGGCTGGACTTCTTTTCCATAACACCTCAGCCTCTTGGCCACCCAGAGAGACATTCCAGGTTGAAGCAAGATTCCTGGCATACACTACTGGCTGCTTTATCTGACAACAACCATGGCCACTTTAAATTCCAAAAGCAAATGAAAGAGCAAAGAATGAAGAATCCAATTAGCTTAAATGTAAGACAAATTTCCTCACCTTGATCAGGCAATTCTTTAAGCAGGCCCCTTCTTATCAGCTCCTCTCTGCTCTGCCGGGTGGATATCTTCCTCTCCAGTACTTAAAAAAGAATAAGCACAAGTAAGAATCAAGTCATTGCTCAGCACAATTATGAACAATATTCAAAATACTTGAGCACATTTATTCTGTCCATGTGAAGGCTCAAAGCCCCATTTGTTTTTATGCCCACCGAGAAGACTTGCATAGAGTCCAGACAACACAGTGAGGACACAAGCAGTCCATGCATGACTGAGGCCCAACCACTGTACCTGGCCAACGTGATCATGTCTGAAAAGGAATCCAGACATTTTACGACATACCGGGTATTGGGCACAGAGGTCACTTAACATCTTTTCTTTGATAATGCTGCTTTCTAAAACGCATGCCAACAGAGGCACTTGAAGTGAGATATGCAAGTGTGTGACTGGAGATAGTCATATGAAATGGTTTCAAGCCTGTGTTTTCTGCATAGATGATTCCTGGACTTTATACATATGCATAGACTGTGTGTGTGTATATGATATGAAGGTAGACGTGAGGCTGACCAAGTGGGAAAGGAGACTAAAGGGAAGAGGGACTGTTGGAAAAGGAGATGGTAGAGGGCGTGAGAAGAATATACTTCAAGTACAATATAGACTTGTGTGACAATATCCTTATATAACACAACGTCATGTATAATGAATACACACAAGAAAAAGAGGAAAATAAAAGTATAAATGCTGAAAATCCAGATAACAGTGTGGGCTTTCAGAAGGTCTTAAGTTAGTTCTTTTCAAAGGTCTTTAAAATTATATCAATCAATCAATTTATTAATTTGTGAGTGCATATGTACACATACCCCCACGCATGCCATGGATGTATGTATAGAGGACCAGGGACAAATTTGGGGAGTCAGTTCTGCGATATGGGTCCCTGGAATTCAACTCAAATTATCATGTGTGGCAGCAGGTGTCTTTACCAGCTAAGCCATCTCACCATCTCTAAATTAGTTCTTTTTTTATTAATTAAAATTTTATTTTTTAAGTAATATTTATTTTATGTGTACAGACATTTTGTTTGCACATATGTCTGGGCCCTATCTGCATACATGGTGCCTGAGGAGCCAGAAGAAGGTGTTGGATCCCCTGGGACTGGAGTTATAGACAGTTTTACATTACCACGTAAACTGATTGAACCTGGGTCCTCTGGAAGAGCAGTGACACTCTTCACCCCCAGGACATATCTCCAGCATTCCTAAATTAGTTCTTAATTCCAAAAATTCAACAAACAAACACCACATAAAAAGCCCCCAAATCAGAAACAACCTACAAAGTACCTGTAAACATCTCATCTGAATGCTGGTAAGAAGGGATAATGTTTAGTGGTTTTTTGTTGTTTGTTTTGTTTTGTTTCTGTTTTTTTCTCTTTCATGCCATCAACTCAAAAGGTCAACACAATAGATCTCTGTAACTTTTTGTTTCTCCAGTCATACACTCTAGAGGTTCTGCTACATCCCCTGACAAACCTTAGGAAGAATGAAGAAGGGAATTAAGAATGGGCAGCTTTTTGAGGCAAGTCAAGGGAAGGGAATCTCTATATGGATTCCTTCTTCTTCTGGAAGGAATCTGTATTCCTGATATAATTTAGGATGGACCTTGGGAGCTGAAGGCAGGACCTCAGCAGTATTAAGCCTGCACATCTGGATCCTAGTATGTCACCAGTTTCACTTCCCACTTGAGGGCCCAGCAGGTTGAGCAGGACGAACTGTTGCCATTGAGCTTGGTGAAGAACACGAAAGTCTTCTATGAGTGTCTACTGGAGGCAAGAGCTCCCAGGAAAGCAAAACTTAAGCCTCTTGTGAAGAAACTAGGAAGTGTGTGTTGCCGTGCATGCATGCATACATACATACGTGTGTACGTACATACATACATCCTGGTTACTAGAAAGTCAGAGTGAAACTTGACACTTAACACAGACCTCAAGGGACATTACACATTTCTTCCTTTCCTACAACCTGAACTCAGTTTCATTTCGTGCACAGTGTATGTACTCTTTGTTGTAAGTTGTCAAATGTGCTTTTGGAACCGGTATATAAACAAAGAAGACACATGAATGACTGAGTAAATAATTAAAAAAAGATGACAATGAACTCCTTATCAGTTTTAGTGGAGACACACCTCCCTTCTCTCCCCCAGTCCCGTTTTCCACTCTCTTCTAGAAACTAGTATCCACAGCTCACAGAAAGATTGCCCATATCAGTGAACGAAGTTAACTGTGTGTGGCACAGATGAGTTCTTCTCTGGGAGTTCATTAAAGAGTGTTGACACTTAAGTGCAGTGTTGATGTGTTGACTTTCCCATTGAGGGAGAGAACAGATCCAAAGACTAGCACCCCCAAGGCTGCCACAACTGCCTGGTCCCAGATTTTTCACAGTCAAGCCATTCCAACTTGATGCCATTCAGAATGCAATCAATTGAGCTTTCTTCTCCTCACCCACCCCTTGCTAATATGAAACAGAACTTTTCAATGTCTACCACTTCTACCTGAAATGTCACATGATTTTCAGGCATCCTGAGTGCTGGTCCCAGAACACTGGCAACCAGTCAAGTGATGCTGGGTGGCCTACATGAAGTCTTTGTGCTTCTAATCTATGATCTAGAAAATGAGGGACAAGACTCAGTGGTTACTAAATCAAATACATGTCAACAACGAGGGCCACTCCAAAATCCCTGCTTTGTATGCCTTTAAAAACTTTTATTTTTCACTAAAAACTTTCTTTCTTCATCTAAGAGACTAGATGCTAACACTTGTGCTTCTCAACTGAAGATCCCAGTCTACTCTTTAGTCCAAGTTTTGAGTTTTGGTTGTTTAATTCTAACTTAAACCTTGGCTTAAACAAATCTCTCTTTTTCTACCTTGTGTACCAAAAATTCTTCCCATTTCTTCCTGTGAATTCCGTGAAGCTCCGTGCCGGCTCCCACCAGCAATCAAAATTAACAGTCCTGCTCTTTTTCTCTTCCTCATAAATGGGCCCTGATAGGAAAATACCATTAGCTGTTTGCTTGGTCTTTGGCTGAGAGCATTTTTAACACATAATGTAGATAACTGTGTGAGGGCCAATGTGGACAAACTGCAGGCTTCTGGGTATGGAAGGTATGTTGTTGGGCACAAAATTCCAACCCCTGCTCTCCCTGAAGTACAAGAATCTTATTCTTCACCTTTTCAAATATTTGCCTTGTGTTTATACAGTGTCTGTGTGTTTGCGGAGCAGATTCACTGGACGTTTTTCATGGGCTCTGAGGGGTTTTGCATTGGAACGAACTTGAGAGGTCATTTTAGTTCAGCATGCCACATAGGGAAGGAGCATCATGGGAATGTTCTTAATGCTTGCTCACCTGCTTTTCAGCCATCCGAGGCAAAAATAAATGCCTCTGAGGTCTACCTCAACTATCCATGAATTTTGAAGAAGAAATTTCTCAAGTATCCCCCAGATCTGTCTCCCTGTGACTTCTGCACACAAATCAAACCCAAAGCTCTAGTTGCTGGTGGGCTACAGGAAGCCATGTGTGAGTAAAATGCTGTAAGAATCTGTTCCCCCATGCTCACCTGGAGCAGCTGAGACTACTGAAGTGACCTGGGGGCTGGTTCCCAGTACCACACCAGTGACTCTGTGGCTGAAGATCACACTAATCTGTACAAGAAATTAAATATAAAGTATGTGTAGAGGCTGTTATGCCCCACAACTATATTGTAACCACAATATTGTCAGGAGACAAGGGGCATAGGACATTGGATACAGTTCCCAAGTCTGTCCATGAAAAGCACTATTACCAGTTAACAAATGGGCCATGAATGTTCCCTTTTATCCTGGTTGCAAAAGCACAAGTGATTCATATGCCAAGATCAAACAAATACACGATTTCTGTGTCACTGGGTAAATTAATATTTTGACAATTCAATCCTGATTACAACAGTACACATTCTAATTCTCTCTATGAAGTGAATGAAAACCTGTGGTTTTCCTGATTTCTCATTTCTACTCTTATTTTCAAGTATTTTAAAAGGATCAGTTTTTTCAAAACACCCAATGGCTGCTCATCTCTCTTCAGATAATATCTCAGTTCCCTAGCATGGGTGTCTACAGCAACCCTGCGAGTGTCCTTTCTCCCATCCAACTACTGTTTGCTGGTTCTCTGATACAGCCACACCTGACACTTCGCCCCAGAGACTGTAGCTTGTATTCATCAGGACACCATTCCCTCATGGCACATTCCATCATGGCCTTCATGTTCTGATCAAGGATCATTCCACCAGAAGCCCCTGGTGAATAGGATGCCCCTCTCATCCCCTTTCCTTATTCATCTCTTCAAAAACCAAACTGTTGTGCTCAATGCTATGTTCCTAACAGTGACACACTGGTTACCTGATTTCTCTCTCTCTCTCTCTCTCTCTCTCTCTCTCCACACACACACACACACACAGCTGAAATATGATTTAAAGAGAAAACAGCCTTGTCCTGTTTTCTGTCCCTTCTTTATTTTCCAGTCGAGGAGAAAGCAAGTGAAGTTCATAACACAGCCTCAAGGAACAAGGGTGTTCTGTCTCCTCTCGCCTTTACGCTTTGGTTGGGCCAGGCTAAGGGGGGAAAAGTTTCCACTTTAGTCCTATGGATCCTGTGAAAAAGGCTCTGTATGCAGCAGAAAAGGGAGCCCACAGTGTGTGGACAGACACCGGCAGCTAGCAGGGGACTGGCTGGGTTCCTCATAAATTATAAATGATTTATGGTGTTCTTCTGGGCACGGAGTGACAGCCATGGAGCCTGCATTCAAGTGAGGCCAGAGCATATGCCACTGGCTCTTTCAGTGGATAGCTGGCCAGGATTTCCTGTTACTTTGGAAGTATCTGGGAGAGTAAATCGTGTGGGCAACAAGTCACTTGTGTTTTCACTTGGCAAGGAAAGCGAGTCCTAATTCTCAATTCTAACACCGTTTAATGACTGAACAAAATAGAAGGGCAAACAGGAGACTCCAATAAGCGTGCCTTGTTATCTTCTAGGTCTTGAGTCATGAATGGGCTTGCTG